CTACTGAAAGGACTGAGGTAAATTCATATTTCAATAGTCAGCTTAGTATGGTAAATTCTCTAACTAAAAACAATCATGTTATATACATAAAGCAAAAGACTTTAATTTTATGATTATTTCTAAGAATATAAAACAGGACCAGACATGTGCAACCAGAATCTCAGTGGAAAATCTGAAATACATTCATGCTGATATTTCATGCAGGAAACATTCTCTTGGCATGTATACTAGAAATGGGTTATATTTCATTGGCTCTCTTCATTCAGAGCAGTCAAATACAGGGTTAAGCAGCCCCATCAGCAGAAGGATCTGGATGAATTGCTGTCTTGAAGCTTAGGAACTATTTTCAGGGATTGAACTCAAAGCAAAGGGGATGATGTAACATCCTGGGGATCTTTAGCTATTGGGCTCAGATAACTTACAGCCATGACGATATTCTCACACAGAGATGCTTCACTCCACTCCTTCAATCCATAGCCCTTTTCATTACTCCTTTCTACATTCTAAGGGTCAAAATACAAGTGACCTGATATTGAACATGAAAACATTGCCCCCTGGAGAGAAAGCCTCAACAATGTACAGATACTTTTGAAAATTTTCAGCAGCATTGATGGTACCCACGAGAGCAGAAGGGGTTCCTTCCTTGATACTAAAGAAGGTGGAGATGAAGGATTCAGGAATCCAGTACATCCTCTTAGAGGACCTTTAGTTGCTTAGTAAGGAAACAAGGTGGTCAGGCATAATCAGTTCTCAGAAAAATTTAAGTTGAAGAGAAAAATTATTTTTTGTATATTAGTCACATTAAAATTAAAATTAACCAACATAATAGTAAGGAAAAGATGTTCAATAATAAGAAAAATAAGGTCAGGGGATGTAGTTGTGTGATAGAATACCATCCTCTCATGAGTAAGACCCTGGCTTTAATCTTCAGCTCTGCAAAACATCAGCAAAACCTCCCATGTGTAGGGCACATTTTGGTAATACCTTTAAAGTTGCCTTCTAGATAAGAACAGATACTTCCTTTTGTCCTCTCTGAGTTGGGAGAAATTTGATGCACTGCTTTACCCAATAAAATAACTTTAAAAATGTGCTTGGTTCCCCAGGGACGCACTCCGCTCCATCCAGGTACAGGTGGTGTCTCGGGATTATTCACCATGATCCCACCTCTTCTGCAAATCAGTTATCCCCAGATGGATCCAGCACCATCTTTAAAATGTGCTCCACTAGAAAATTTTCAATTAAGCACCCTCTTACATCAATAACACTAAGGATTCTATTCTTTTCCTAACCTCGTTTCCATAGAAGTAAATGTGTTTATTGACTGCTGTCTAATTTCTTCTGTAACTTTTTGAAATATTGGTGTATTGTTACTATCTTTTCTATATTATTGTGAACAGTTCAAATGAGGCAAGACAAAAACCATTAGAACACAAATACTATATTTATAAACAGCCTCCAAAAACTCAGGTAAATATGTCCTAACTCAGAGCTTTCATATATTAACATCAAACAACATTGAACAGTCATAGCTTCAAGACAGGCTGTTTGTTATTATATTTTTCATTTATCAGAATACAGGATCTGGAATGTTGTTGGTTATATAAATGTAGAGTTAAGAGTATACTAGAGGGCCTAAGAGATGGTTCAGTGGTTAAGGTGCTTGCTGCCAAACCTAAGGACCTGGGCTTAATCTCACATGGTGGAAGGAGAGAATTCACTCACACATGCACGCTGCAGCAATGCACCTCCCACATGCACACCAAATAAATAAATGTAATTAAAACTTTAAGCATAAAGCATGTTCTCATGAGTACAGGAAGTACATCCCAAGCGCTCTGGAGTTTGGTATTTACTGTGAGGGTTACTAAATTCCTGACGCTATGTAAACTCAATTTCAAATTAATTAACTTTTATAAATGTAGAGATATCTATTTATTTATTTATTTGAGACATTGTCTTGCTATGTAACCAGGTTGGTTTTGAATTTGTGATCCTCTTGCCTCAGCCTCCTGAGTGCTGGGGCTATAGTTACCAATGTGCTTGACCAAACATTTCAGTTTCTAGATGCTAGAGCAACATTTCAAGTGACCAGTCATTAGAAGCTAATCTACTTGGTCTACCATATTGAACAAGGCTTTCACATCTTTTTAGAAAATTCAAGGCAACACTGATTTTGGAGAGATGACTTACCTAGTCCCATGCACACGGCGACTGGGAAAGGGAAGTGGTGGAGTGTTTGAGAGTTGTCCCCACAGGGCACTCGGAGGTGAGGTTCTGAGTTTGTTCCACATAAACAACCAGGTGCTTTTTCAGGAAAACCATAGCTGCTTTTGGTCCTCTCCACTTAGGAATTGTGTTACCTTGATGCCTTTGCTGAATTACAAGGAAATTGTCTTGGCAGGACTAGATAAAAGAGACTTTTAAAGGAGGCTGGGAGAAGACTCAGCATGGTGGGTTAGAATTCCTTTCTGAATGCTTTGGTTAATCTTTGAAGGAGATACACTTGATCTACAAAGTGTGAGGCATTTCCAGATTCTCTCCTTAAAGTGAATGTGATTGCCAATCATTTATTAGTAGAAAGCAATCTGAAATCACCCAAATAAGATATTAAGGAAAATGTAATTCAACTTCTAAAAATGTTATTTACTCTTTGCTTTGTAAATTCGAATTTTTTTGTTTCCAAAGGCCAGAAAAGTGTTAGATAAAATGCCCAGGGATAGGGGGGAAAAAAACCCGTTTGTTGGTTTTCTACATAAATCAAAGGTTAGAGCTATTATTTTTCCCTCAGAATAAAACAAATAGCTCTTTGGTCATCTGTAAGAGAGCAGCTCTGTTTTGAAGAGTTTTATGTGATTTCTACATCCCTCAAGGAAACAAAGGAAAGTCAGAGGAAAGGGAAAGGCAGGCCGATAAGCCACAGAAGTGTCTGGTCTGGGGCAAAGCATCCTGTTTTTATCACATGGCTAAAAAACAGTGAAAGAGAAAGATAACCTGGGATCAGCGGCCCCGTTTGCTTGTGTCTTACAGGCACTTGCCACGATTCTCTGGATAATCAAACTACACTGGGGGATTTTTAGTGACCATTGAGAAGCAATGGGTCAATCCGGGTGAAAGTCACTGGAAATTTTCATGTCGAAGTGGAGGAACTTGGCAAAGAGAATAGAAAAATAGACTTTCCGTGCCGCCAATCAACTCTTCCAATGATTCCCAAAGTCAAAGAGCTATTCTACAATGAAAAAGTGACAGAAGGGTAAATACTCATTAAAGGGAAGATTTCTTTCCAAACAAAATACATGGCTTCTACATCGGCTTTTTGTGATGCTGAGGATTGCTGCATCCATTGATCATTCGATCACTTAGAATGCTTCTGAAAAAGTGGCCCCAGGGATGCTGTCATTTGGACCCACCCGCACTGGTGGTCTTATCTCTGGGTCTCCACTGGTGTTCTTAGGGGATTTATCAGTTTGGCATCTGTGGGATGTCACTCCACACAAGCACTTGGGCAGCGATTAGAGAATTGCCTCTCCTCCTCCCTATCAGACCATCTTCCCAGGACAGCCCCCAGGCTGGAGCACAGAAAAGAGAGCTCTGGCCAGGGGTTAGTATCTTTATAAACTATACATGAGTTCTTTATGCTTTATGTTAACACACGATTTAAAAATATCGTACCCTGTAATGACTAATTTAGATTACTGATGTCTTTGTTAAGACTTGTAAAAAATATGAAACATGACCAGTCAGTTGCTTGGACATTGGTTTTATCTGCTGTGAAATATCTGCATATTTATACACATTGAGATAATGCTATTCTTTCATGATTTTTATATGAGTTGTGAAGATACAGCCTTAAGTAGGGGCAATATCATATGAACTGTCTCCGGAGAGTCACCTATACAATTAGGCCTTCACCAAAAAAGAAAATGATTTAAACTTTTCTGCTGATTAAAGCACTGATTGTTATTCTGACAGACAGGGATGTAGTTTAATAGTTTGAATTTTCTTTACATTTCCTGCCTCTATTAGACTCTCAAACTTTGTAGCGAATTGAAAACATTCTTGCAACTTAGCATCCCAGTGGATTGACAGAGAAGAAAACAGGACTGCCCCCCCCGCCACCCCCCCACCCCGTTTTCCTGTTTTCCAGTCACAGGCCAGATGTGCGGTATGAGGAAACACAGGAGCAGCAGCCAGAAAACCATTTTCCTCAAGAGACCTTGCAGCCCAACTCTCCCCAAATGCTTTTTAAAAGAAAAAAAAATAAACATGCACTAAACACCAATTTTAAACAAATGCAAAGATTTGTGGAGCCCTAGTCCACCTTCTGATGTTGCTGCAGATAAAAAGACACACCAATGAGATGGCAGATTAAGGCAAATGGATGCTTAACATCCCTGGAGTTTTGTAACAAGAGATCTGGCAAGTTTGAAAGCAGATCTCGTTTCTCAGAGATTATGAACTCTGGACTGCGTTTCAGAGTATATTACACGCCGTCTGCTTTATACCAAACAGAAGAGATTGTACTACCAGACAGAGCAGACAGAACCAATAAGAGCCATAATAAATCAAATTAAGGAATATTTATTGAGCATCCATGCATTCCCAGTTTTGAGCTATTAGTTGTGTGATGTATAAAATTATAAATGAAGAGGACTGTGGTCTAAAAAGCTTAAATGAGTTTGGGAAAAAAAGTCATTGGCTCAAAAAATAAATGATAATGCAAAATCCAAATGAATCAGAGTGAAAATTTGAAAAAGTTCACAGAAGACAAAAATAGACCCAACCAGGGACATAAAAGAATGCATGGTTTAAATTCTTTTCTCAGTCTTTTGAGACAGGGTTTCATTATGTAGCCTAGACTGACCTTACAATCAAGCTTCTCCTCCTTCAGCCTCTGAATTACTGGGGTTACAGTTTTTACCCCCAATCCCAGATACAGGGCTTTGATTGAGTGCTCTAAATTGTTCCTAGGTAGGTGCTGCATGTTTCATGGAGACAAAGGACAGAGACATTGACAGCTGATGGTGCTCACAGGCTGAAGCTGTCAGTAAACTGCAAAATGAAAGCACATAGCCACCTATACAGTAAGCAGGGTGAGGAACGGCCCCTCGCTCCTGGAAGGGCAGAATAAGATATGGTAAGTACTTTTCCCTTTTATTTACTTTCCTCTACCTGAATTAGTTTCCAGACCCACAACCCCACGCTTGTCTGCCTCAAAAAGTCCAAATTCTAAAGTTCTTTGTGGGATTGCAACTTTCTTCAGTGCCTAAAGCAGGTCTGAGTGACTGCTGTGCGTGGCCTTCAGCTGCTTCTCCTGTCATGAGCTTCGGCAAAGAGTGTAAACACTCAACAAACAGAACTAAGATTTGTTTTGTCTTTTTGAGACACAGTTTCCCTGTAGCCCCAGCTGCCCTAGAACACACTAAGTAGACCAGGCTGGCCTTGAATTCACAGAGATCCACCTGCCTCTGACTCCCCTGAGTGCTGGGATTAAAGGTGTGCACCACCACGCCCAGCAAGTGGAGAATTTTAACATGTAGAAAATGCTTGAGAAAATAAGACTAAATGAGTTGAAACCTAGAAAGGGAGGTTGGAAAAGACCTCATCTTGCAGAAGTCATTCTAACTCTGGGTAGGACAATAGAAGTGGTTGGGGGAGCGTTGATGTGAAAGATCAAAACAGAGGAAGCACTAAGTTGAGGTGCAAGTTAAAACAGGGTAGTTATGAGAAAGTTTCTGTTGAAAACAGACTGGTAGTGATCATACAGGAATAGAACGATCTTATTAAAAGCACACCAGATGAAAACCAGTGGCATGACAAGAAAACCAAAACCAAACATGATCAATAAGGACTCAGTGTGGGAACAGTAGAACAGGCCAACTCAGTGAAAACAGTACTGAAAATGTCTATGTGTGTTCAGGGACATGACCAAGGTACATTTAGTCCCTGAGGTCAGTAAATGTGAGAACTTTCTCTTTCATAACCCTGAAGGGTCAAGATGAGAACAGTTACCAGAACCTAGGAATTGTGGAGAGAGGAAGAGAGAGAAAGAGAGAGAGAGAGAGAGACAGAGAAAGACAGAGAGAGACAGAGAGAGAGACAGAGACGAGAGAGACAGAGAGACAGAGACAGAGACAGAGAGAGAATCTCTGATACCCAGCAAGTAGGAATCAGAGTCAGTGGAGTCAGGCTTCCTCCATCCTCAGGCTCTTCCTTCCTCAATTCCTGGAGTGGAGGCTTCTGGTTGATGAACTGAACAAAGGCAGAGGTGGGGCAGTCACTGCTCTGATCATCAGAGTTGAGGAGCACAGCCTCCTGGATCACAGGACAGTTGCTTTGGGGAAATAGTCCCACATAGGCTTATGCATTTGAACATGTGCTCACCAATTGGTGGTGCTGTTTGGGGAGGTTATAGAGCTTCTAGAACGTGGAGTTGTATAGGAGGAAGTGTCTCATTGGAGGTGGGCTTTGAGCTTCTACAGCCTTGCCCACTTCCAGCTTGCTTCCTCTGCTTCCTGCTTGAGGAGGGACATGTGCTCGGCCAGCTTCCAGTTCCTGCCACTGACTGCTGTTTCCTCCCTGCAGTTATGGACTCTATCAAGTTAAACTCTGCTCTAAGGTTCCCTGGGTCATGCCTTTTTCTCACAGCAACAGCAAAGTAACTAATATACTATGTAAAGAATATATCTAGAGTTGACCTCTGACTACCATATGCATGATAGCTCTGCCGTCCCCCACCCTCCTCACACCCGCTTGTCTAAGTACCCCCCACACCCCCACACAGAGAAGCGTCCTTCTAAAGTGAAAGAGTCCATGCATTCAACTCCATAGTCTCCACTACAGAAGTTTAGAACTTGTCACCACCTCAAACCAGACCCATACTGATTAGAAGTCCTTCTCATGAGTCTTTCTTTCTTTGACTCCTTTTCATCTTCCTCGAAGGGGTAAACTACAACCTTAAGCTATGGATTTCCCTTTCCTAGAAGTATTAGACGTATGAAATCAGTGGCATCTACAATGCAACCTCTAAACTTAAGGCTCAGAGAACAGAACGAAACAGTGGGGCAGAGAGAATATTAATACATCTTCAGCTCTCACCAGCAAAGCTCCCCATGCAACGGGTAACGATTAAACCAGAAAGCAAAGCTGTTCAAAGTGCCGAGATTAAGAGAACGCAGAAGACAGGTCCCTGCGTAGGACCTGAACTACAACTGGGCCAACCAAGGCTCAGGGACCGTTGTGGAAAAGGGTTCCAAAAGACTCTAAGAGTCAAAGTCGGTGGATGACAAGAAGGAAATGAGGGGGAGAGAGAGAGAGAGACAGAGACAGAGACAGAGACAGAGACAGAGAGACACAGAGAGAGAGACAGAGAGACAGAGAGACAGACAGAGAGACACACAGAGAGAGACACAGAGACAGAGAGAGAGACAGAGAGAGACAGAGACAGAGAGACACAGAGATACAGAGAGAGAGACAGACAGAGAGACACACAGAGACACAGAGAGAGACAGAGACAGAGAGACACAGAGAGAGACAGAGAGACAGAGACAGGAGAGACAGAGACACAGAGACACAGAGAGAGACAGAGAGACAGAGACAGAGAGACAGACACAGAGATACAGAGAGAGAGACAGAGAGACAGAGAGAGAGACACACAGAGAGAGACACAGAGAGAGACAGAGACAGAGAGACAGAGAAGGAGAGACACAGAGACACAGAGAGAGACAGAGAGACAGAGACAGAGACACAGAGACACAGAGACACAGAGAGAGACAGAGAGACAGAGACAGAGACAGAGACAGAGACAGAGACAGAGACAGAGAGACACACAGAGAGAGACAGAGAGACAGAGAGACAGACAGAGAGACACAGAGAGAGACACAGAGACAGAGAGAGAGAGAGACAGAGAGAGACAGAGACACAGAGACAGAGACACAGAGATACAGAGAGAGAGACAGACAGAGAGACACACAGAGAGAGACAGAGACAGAGAGACACAGAGACACAGAGAGAGACAGAGAGACAGAGACACAGAGACAGAGACACAGAGACACAGAGAGAGAGACACAGAGAGAGACAGAGAGAGACAGAGAGACAGACAGAGAGACACAGAAAGAGAGACACAGAGACAGAGAGAGACACAGAGAGACAGAGACAGAGAGAGACAGAGACAGAGAGAGAGACAGAGAGACAGAGACAGAGAGACAGAGACAGAGAGACACAGAGACACAGAGAGAGAGAAAGAGAGACAGAGAGAGACAGACAGAGACAGAGACACAGAGACACAGAGACACAGAGAGACACAGAGAGAGACAGAGAGACACAGAGACACAGAGAGAGAGAAAGAGAGACAGAGAGAGAGACAGAGACACAGAGACACAGAGACATAGAGAGACACAGAGAGAGACAGAGAGACACAGAGACACAGAGAGAGAGAGCGACAGAGAGACAGAGAGACAGAGATAGAGACACAGAGAGAGACAGAGAGACACAGAGAGACAGAGAGACAGAGACAGAGAAGAAAAATAACTTGTATTAGCTATGAGTGACCAGTTATCATACTGGGATTTGCTGTGTGCCTTCGAATTTCAGAATTTGGAGGAAAATTTAAAGGGATTGGGTGATTGTTTTAGTGACTTTCCATGTCTCTGTGAACGAAGAAATGGGGAAGAAGGATTTCTTTCGGTTTACAGCTGCCATCCATCACAGTCAGGAAACCATGGAGTCCATGCAGTAGGAATGTGTGCTTGATGCTTTTCACAGCTCCACTGACCAGGATCCAGAGACAGGAGACTAGAACATGGGCTCTGTGTCCTTCAGAGCCTGATCTTGATGGCTGACATACACCAGCTCAGCTCCAGGTTCCAAAGGGTCCATACCCCTCCAAAATGGTGTCACTAGCTAGGTACCAAGTGTCTAAGCACATGAGCCTGTCAGGAACATTCACATCAAAGCATCCCAGTGGGAAGGATGCTACTCAGGGCACCAGCACTACACATCGTACTGAGGTTGCTTTTACTCTCTGTTGTTTTCTCAGTTCTAAATGAGCATGATGTAATTATTGTTAAGTTTCTGTTTGTAGACCTAAAGCAATCTCACTCAGTGACAACACTCCACCAACCTTTAGCCACATTTGGATAGATAATGAGGCTTACCCTCTGTAACACTCAATTCCAAGTTCTGTTTTCCCTCTAACTGAAATTGTTACATTAGACCGAAGCTAAGAGTTTGTTCGTATCAGATTTTCAGTTTTGCTTGAAGAAATATAGTAAAGAGAAAGGAGTGGGTTGTGTTTGCAAATAATTGCACAGCAGTAGTCCTTTTCAAAACAAAACAAAAGTCTGTGAATGCCTGCATAATGCACACATGAATTTAAGAAAATAAGAAGTGATGGAATTTATGGTGGATATATCACACTGAGGTAAAAATTAACGTACAAAGGAGAAAGTGTTCCTTGGGACTGTATGTTCCCCAGAAAGAACAAATCCTACAAAGATGCTCATGTGTTTGCCAGAGAGAGGTCTTAAGAACTACCCCACGTTTCTTGCCTGGAAGTCTTTAATCCAAAGTTTTCACAGAGCTGTTATTCCTCAAGGGCTTGGAGTCGCTTTGGGGATTGTAGAGAAAATTGATGGCAGCCAGGGTTGGGGAGATTCAAAGTTCCTTGCCCATCCGTGAAACTGGAGCCCTGGAGAAAGGGAACCACTGTGGGGTGTGAACAACCAGGCCTGAGAACCGTGGATTCTGGCTGATTACACAGGCATTCCAGAGTCAGGCAGGACAAACCACACATGTCACTGAAAATCATGCAGTGAAACATTGTTTTCACCCGTGAATATGTGTATAAGAAGTGCATGCATTTGTATGCATGTTTATATGTGTGGGAGCACATGTATGTGCATGCATGTGTATGTGTGTATGAACAAGTGAAGGCCTGAAGTTAGCTTTTGAAGTTTTCTTCCATTTCTCTCCAATTTGTTTATGCAGAGACTGCCACTGACCCCAGAGCTGGCCAAGTCCAGTGAGTCCTGTGAGCCAGCTTGCTGCAGGCTCCTTCCTGCCTCTGCCTCCTGAGTGCTGGGATTACAGGTGAGTGCGGGGATGGTGACTCTAAGCCTCACACTTGTGTGGTGTGTCCTCAGTCTACTGATTCAGCACCTCAGCCCCTAGATGAAGTTTTAGATTTAAGATTTATTTTATTTGTATGTGTATGTATGTGCATATGTGTGTGTGCAAGTGTGGGTGTGTGACTCTGTGAGTCTGTATGTGTGGTTGTGCATGTGAGAGTATATGAGTATGTGTGTGAATATACATGTGTGTGTGTGTATGTGTGAGAGTGTGTGTATGTGAGTCTGTGTGTGGGTATGAGTATGTGTGTGGCTGTGCATGTGTGTAAATGTATCTGTGTGTCAGCCTATATGTCTCTGTGTGAGTGTGCATGTATGAGTGTGTGTGTACATGAGTGTGAATAAGTGGGGGGGAGTGGATGTGAGGGTTCACATACCTATGCATAGTCAAAGGTTGGAAGACACAGACATATCCCATGGAGCTAGAGTTGCAAGCATTTTTAAGATGCCTCGTTTCTTACCGAGGTGCTGGGATCTGAACTCAGTTGTCATGATTGCAGAGTAAGTACTCTTAACCACTGAGCCATGTCTCCAGCTTCTACAGCAAGATTTTTAGTGGCAAAAGTATGTAAAGTTCTGAGGACGGTGGTTTTTCATTGAGTAACTTGCTCTCTACAATCTGATCTTATCTTTCTTTGCTTCTCCTCCATGTGTAGGAGGCTAGGCATGAGACCAACAGCTCGGTCGCACCCTGCTTCCTATTGATGAGCAGGAGGGTGCTGTCCGGAAATCTGCCCCAGCAGCTAGAAACCAACAACACATCCACAGCTCCAATAGAAGGACACCAACAGGACATAAGGGACCAATGGGGGGAGGGAAGGGGGTATAAAGGAGACACCTGTGTTCACAATAAACGAGCTCGCTTGCACATTGCCTAGTGAGTGTCCCGGAGTCTGTGTCGTTGACGTCATTGACTTCACGCCTACTTATCCCCTGACCCCGCAGGGAGGAGGTCAAAGGGACCTTGGCTGCAACATCCATGAGGCTCTATTATTCATTTTCGTGTTAGAACTGATCACAGGCTGTAATTAAAATGATTCTTCAATAGGGAAGAGAGTACCCTTCAAGTTTGTATGATACTCCAGGTTCTGCTCAGGTGGTTTGCTTATAGCACTCTTCGCGGATGCCTACAGGGCAGGGCGGAACCCACATAGATCTGTGGTCTCAAGTTCTAAATAGTGTCCAATTTCATAGCACAGCCTAAGGGATAATTTGAATATTAATTCTTGGTTGAAATTACAGTTTAGGAGGAAATGTTTCCTTCAAATGGCCTCTGGAAGCTGGTTTAAGTAATGACGTTTATATGGGAGATGCTCAGAAGACTTTCAAACCAGAAATTCTTCAGGCAAGCCACAGATCCTTAAAATGTTATCCTCAGTGAGAGAGGAGATCATGAACAGAGAGTAGGTCACCTTGATGACACTGGTTGAAACACCAGGCAGATTGGGAGGACAAACAATGGCCTTTGACATTCATTTGTGCTGGTTAAAGCAATTCTACCTTAGATATTAGCTACATTGGGAAGTCAACCAGACTACTGTAAAGTTGTTTTATATTGCTTGTTTCCTTGCTTATTTGAGACAGGGTCTCTCGGTGTAACACAGACGGCTCTTAAATTCATGATCCTCTTGTCTTGGTTTCCTAAGCAGTGGAATCTGCAAGAGGTGGAGTCCTTAACACTGGAGGGAGTGTGCAGGAATGTCATGTGCCAAGGCAGAGATGACGAGATGATGCAAAAATAAAGGTCTCCACAAGAGGAAGCCGCAGAGAATTCTAAATGTACCGGCATCAGCAATCATTTAACCCTGCTTTTTACCTTCACTGATCTGGAAATAACTGATGCCTCCAAACACGTAACAAAGCAAAAGTCAGACCATCTTAAAACTCACAATCACGGAACCTTAAGTCCCGAGAAAGGACTATACTGACCTAAAAATTGAGAAGTGATGGACTGAAAAGTTGGAGAACTAAGGAGAATTATGCCAGTCTGCCGCTTTGATCTTCACTCTCCGCGAATTCAGGGCACCAACAAAGAACTTCATGACATCTCCAAGAAGGCTGGAGACCGGATGGTGGCATATGAGGCTAGATGGTCCCAACCTCAAGTAAGGTGATTTAGTAAGAACACATTTGCCAGGGCCTTGATCATGTGCACTATAGAAGCATCCATATGGACTAATTTCAACAGCCAGATCCTTACAGCTACTGGAATTTTCTCGTGAGATAAAGTCAAAGTGCAAACAGTAGTCATTGGAATTAACTGGTACTGCTAAGGGTGGCTGCCTGCAGCTCCCAGGGAGACGAACAGTGTTGCTTCAGAGTGAGGACATAGCAAGGACATAAGGAGGGTCCACGGTGAAGCCGGCACTGAGCTAAGGCGCATCCAGGCCTGCCTAGCTGGGTCTTCTTTTCCTTGGCCCTTCAGCCGCTCCTGTGTCTTCCCACAGTGACTCACCTTTCCAAAAGATTTTCTTCAGGTTGATTTAAAAGTCATTTCCTCAAGGCACTCCTGAAGACCTCAAGCCAACAGAATATGGATTTGTTCTTTTTTGTTCTTTTAATTGTGTGCACGTAACCGATATAAATTATGTAAACAGACCACATGATAGTCATGGATTGGATTGCTCTTAGCAGCCGGTGGGTAAATCCTCATAATGTAATATATTTCTGGTTTCCAGTAGACAAAGATTATATTTTCTCTAAAGAGGATAAACCAGGAAAGCAAAGCAACTCTTCTAAGATCAGTACTCAGAAAAGCAAATATAGATAGAAACGCTTTTAGCTGGGTGCTCTGATGCACACCTGAAATCCTAAATATTAGGGAGGCAGAAAGATTGAAAGCTCAAGGCCACTCAGGGCTGCATAGTGAGACCCTGCCCAAAAGCCTGATAACATATAATTATAATTAATACATCATCTATGCAAAGCTGTTTGTCTCCTGACTTAATATCCTGGCATGCATTTTCTTTAATTTATTTTATAGTTCTGAAGCATTTGGTAAAATCTGGATTGCTTACAAAAGCGAGTCTAAAAATGACTATATTTTCTAAGGACTACTGAATTTACCACTGCATGGACAGTCTTAACTATAAGACAAGGTATTGTGTTAGGGAGCAGGGGTGATACATGTTGGTAGATTTCAGAGAGATTAGTCCCAGCACTGAAAAACAGTAGTTCACAGCTTTTCATATTTGTGTCTAAAACATTTTAATACGATTTACAGAAAATTGTTACAATACAATGCAGAAAAGGAAGAAAGGATCTATGTAATGCTGAATAATAAATTGAAAATAAACCTTCCAGCACCCTTTATTTTGTCTTTCTGGCATGCTGCATTGCAGTTCATACATGAATATGGAACCAAATTAGAATCTGCTTTATAAGTGGAGTTAATACTAACTCTAAATACATGTATTCTTGATAAAGGCAAAATCTACTTCATCAGATGATTTAAGCCTCAAAAAGAGGCTCATGCAAACTTAAAACCAGCTTTCTTTGAAAAATTGGATTTGTTCCTTTTAAAAAAATGACATCATTCATGATGTGCTTTTAATCAGTTATCACTGCAGATAATCTGGAGGGCAGCATGCATGGGAAAACAACGGTGATTAACTAGGTGTTGACCTCGAATCATGGCATGGGTCCAGGGAGAGCTTATTAGTTTTAGCTAACAGCAAACATAAAACTCAACTCAGGGAACCACAAATCACTGCAGTAGGATTGGCTCCAGCATGAATCAGATACATGGGCAGAGCAGAGATAATGCCACCTCATCCAGAAAAAGTAATAAGGGTTGATTAAGAAAACAGTAACATTTTTCACACATACGTTTATGGGTAATCTTTCCATCTTAGCCAGAATTTTCAAATAAAGAAAATGATTCTCATACTTTTAAAATATTTTATTTATTATTTTATCTTATGTGTATGAGTGTATTGCCTGCATGTATGTGAGTGTACCCGTGTCTTGCAATGCCACGGAGGAGAGAAGAGGGCTTCAGATTCCCCTGGAACTTGAGTTAAGAATTATTCGTAGCCGCCATGTCAGTGCTGGGAATTGAACCCAGGTCACCTACAAGAGCAGTCAGTGCTCTTAACTGCTGAGCCATCTCTCCAGCCCCCATGATTCTTATACTTAAAGTGAGGCTATTCCTTAATTGAACAAATTAGGAACAGGAGCATTTAAGATTGCTTCTGACCCTAGTCAGGACTCCTCAATGCATTTTGCCTTGCCCTGTCATTAGCAGTTCAAACTCACCACACCGTGAGCCAGAGTTTTAACATAAACTCGACCTCCTCGGTTTATATGGCTCACTACTGAAACTATATTATTAGTTTTATTTTTTAAGATTTATTTTATGTGTCTGTGTGTTTGTGAGAGTGTGCATCATTGTCATGTATGGGTGTCCACAGAGGCCAGCAGAGGGCATCATAGTCTGTAGAGCTAGAGTTATAGGCCATCATGAGCTGCCAAATTGTGGGTTCTGAGAACCAAATCTGGTCCTTTGTAAGAACAGTAAGATCCCTTAACCATGGAGCCATCTCCTTAGCCCCTTATTTATTTATTTGTCTAAACTTTTTTAATTTTTTGAGATAGTCTTACTATGTAGCCCAGTCTGATTATAAATCACTCTGTAACCACAGTTAACCTCAAAATTACAGCAATCTTTCTGTCTCCACTTCCCAGATGAGAAGATTACAGATGTGTGCTATCATGCCCAGCCTGAAACTTTCACAATGACCCCTACATAGTTCCTGCCAGTCAATTAAATGTCTGGCCCATACTGGATGAGGGCAGAAAGTCAGTTGGAGGAGTTGTGAGTTATGCTTTCTGTATTCCTAATACACAAGCACTAATAGGATTTTTAAAAAGAGCCTTATGCAATAACACTTTTAATCTTGTTTTTGTGTTTATGCTTTGAAGGAGTATTATAGGAGTTCTCTGCATTTGGGATTAGTCTGTGTGTTCCTTACCTTTCGTGAATGTATCCATCTTAGTTTGCAATATTTTGGTATTCAGAATCAACATGTTTGCATTTTCTTTACCTGGTGCTTTCCAGACCTGACTATTTGAAACGACAGCCATCAGAAGGAGAAAGAAGAAAATACCATCAATATCACTGTTTATCATGATGGCAAAATAGCAACAATAAAATGATTTTAATCAATACACCTTGCAGTGGGTAATTTCACTGTCAACTTGTCAGGATTCAGAGTCACCCAGGTGTCACCTTTGGGAATGTCTGTGAGGGTGTGTAACGGCTAAGCCCAGGTGTCAATTTTACTGGATCTGGGATAAACTGAAATGAGAGAGACCTTGATTGGATATCTTGAAGCTGGAAGACACACGCTAAATGTGGACAGTACCTTCTGACGACAGCCATATAAATAGCCATGGCAGAAGGGAGCTCTGTTGCACCCTGACTATTACAGGGTGTTTTCAGAGGGGTTCAGCAAAGGATGATGACCCTCCTGCAATTGGGGTGCACCATCCCATGGGTTGGGATCCTGGCTGAGTAAAGGCGAGAGGGCCAAGCTATCTGTCTGCTTCCTGGTTGCCCACTATGAGCAGCTGCTTCCAGCTCCTGTCGTCGTGTCTTCCCAGCCACAGAGCTCTCTGCCCTCAAACACTGCACCAACATGCATCCTTCTTTCCTTAAGTTACTTTGTCAGGTATTTTGTCACAACAATCAGAACTACAACTAATACATACCTGTTCTTTTAATTTTAAGAGGAGTTCCAATAGGCTCAGAGCACAGGAACAGGGGGCAGGCAC